TGAATTGAATTGAATATCATATTTTAGAAATGTTCTTGACTGGTTTAAATATTCGGGTTAAGACAGATTATATCAACAGTAAAGATCATACAATGTTGTTTATTTACTGGACTGATTTAAATGTTATTAAGGCCCCGCAACAGCATTAATTATAGACATTTACCCGACCAGTTTAAATATGTTAAGACTCTACAATATTCTGTAAAATACAGATTTATTTCATAATCTGGTTATTACCCTACAATGGTACATATTGTGCACACTTACTGGACTCATTAGGGTTCAGGCCTTAAAATATTACATTTCATAAATTCACTTTGCTTAATTAAACGTTAAGATTAAGACCCTGCCATCATATAATTATATATACAATATTATTTATTAAACAGCCTCACCTGAATAAATTAAATGTATTAGAATTAAATATGAAGCTTAACATCCTCTTTGTTCTTATCAAATAAAATAACAGCTGATAACCAGCTAAAGACTTTATAAAATGATAATTATGCGTTTATTAACACGGTGATAGTAAAAGAGTTCCTACAACGTTTAATATCTAAAAACTAACATCCCCATCAGAAGAATCAAGGCCCGGCAGCATCGACACCAACACGACAGACGGATTCAAGGTTCTGGTGCTTTATTGTCTCCGATTCAACAGCATGAGAAGCAAACAGAGAGGAAATAAAAAACAACAAAAAAACGGTTTCTGATACAGAAAATACAGTGTTCATGGAATTCACACGGATTTTCAGTTACACTGAGAAAAACCAAACAAAACAACAAGCCGGAGGCGTTTCGCCGTCCAGCGTGGTTCTGAAGACATCAGCAGTAATGAGCTCTTCTTGCTTGTCTTTGGAAAACAAACGTCCAAAACGACACAAACAACAACACTGTCCGTGTTTCTCCTGATCGCATGACGGCTGTTGTTTCCAGCTCAGAGTGCACGAATACTGTCGGGAAATGTTGAAATAACGAGGCATGAAATAAACATTTATGCTGCACGGCTAAAGCAAAACCTTTTGTGACTTACCAGAGAAATGCTGCCTAAAGTGAAGCCCACCTGTGATGCAACTCGTCTTTAGTCATGATGTGCTTCTTTTACTTTCAGGCCAGAAAACAAACAAACCAGAAAATAAATTAAGAATAAGAGCTCAGTTTGTTATAAAGGAAAAAAAAGGAAGGAGGGTAGCAAATAAAGAAAATAAATCTCTCTAATAACTGTGGAATGACTTTAAAACTGGAATGACACGACCTCAGTTTAATCATCTTTGATATTTTTGCACTAATTATTATTTAAGCCTGAAAATGAAGCCACTAGATTAACTGTGGGGTTCCTCAGGGCTCGACATCAGGCCCACTGCTGTCTATGTTCATTAGACAAAACCAATACTTCCCCCTGTAGTACTTAAAACAAAAAGTCCACCAGAGCTGGTTTGAGTTTTAACAAATGATTCACCTGAAGCACGACTGAATTCATCCAGTAATTGATGCATTTATTAATGTGCTAATGTTGAAAAAGTCCCTGAAACGAGGCGATAAATCTTCACCTCTTGGTCTGGAATTTAAAAAAAAATCTTAAAGTTCTGTATTGTTGTCCTTCACTCCTGTTTAATTCGGAGTAACTGTCTTTGTTATTAATGAACGTAAATAGACTTCTTTTATTATTCCATGTCCAGTAAGTTCTGACTCTTCGATTCTGCTCCTATGAGACAATAACTGGACGTAATTAGTCATCAGACATTAAAATTCATTCTTTGTTTTCACCCAGAAACAAGTCAAACTGTTGCAGGAGGATCTGAGCCTTCGTGTGTTTATCAAACGTTCAGTCGACGAACTGGTCAGAAAACTAATCGAACAGAAATGTGAGAATCGATTAACTGTCCAACACAAAAGCAAAAGTGCCGAGAGTTTCTCTAGTGGCTCAAATCTTTTCATTTCAAACTTGAAATTAGCCGATTAACAGAAGAGCAGCTCCTTCAGGAAACCTTTTAAAGCAAAATGACCAAACATCTGTTGGTTCCTGAAGTTCTCCTGAGTGCAGCTCGGCACCGTTTCCTGATCAGAAAACCTAGAAATCAATGAGCACGATAATCGATAAGAGCAGCTCCGGCCAAAGTGAACCAACGATGAAAACTACCTGCGATGAAACGGCTTCCACCTGACGGACGCTGAGGCTCTTCAACGTAATAGTCAGTACACAGATATCAAAATATGAACACACACACACACACACACACACACAGACACACACGCACACACACAGACACAGACACACACACACACACACACAGACACACACAGACACACACAGACACACTATACTGAATATAATGCTTAGAAAAGTGTGGAGGAGTAAAGGAAACGTCAGCGGGTGAACATCTGTCTGCACATTTCTAGATAAATGCTTCCACGTGTTCGACTGGTCGATCGGAGCTCCTGAACGCTTCTCGCCGTCCGTCGTTACGCGACTTTGTTCCTCTTTCGCTACTTTGGTTTAAACTTCAAGCGGGCGTTTCCTCCCTCACGGAAAAAATGATGGTGGTAAATAATAGTAAGAGCTGGGAAAGGTTTCATGAGACGCATGGGCGCCAAGGTGAGGAGGCTGCCGGGCGGTTTCCATGACGACACACAGTTCTGCCTCCTGTACCTGGTCACGAAAAGAAGAAGAAGAAGAAATAATCCGACTCTGAGAGCAGCCGAGCGTCCAAACGGCTGTTGGGCGTCCAGAAGTCCGAGCAGCTCCACAAACATCCCGATTGTTCAGTTTCGTCTCTGAGGATCCTGAACTGCGTCCGTTTGACGACGTGAAGCAACAAAACGAGTCGTCCGTCCGCCGAAGCAACACGCTCAAAAACACAGCAACGGAACAGACCTGAAGAGCAGCGAGCGGGGAGGCGATGGAGTCGAGTCTTTGGACGAGTCGGGACCAAGAAGCTTCTGGCGGGCCCTCGTTTGAACCTCGTTCACCATCTCACAGTGTTTCCATAAATCCGTCTGCTGCCGGCGGAAACGTGGCCGCCAGAAACCGAACCGCCGTCGTTTATGTCTGAATTTGTTCAACGTGAATAAATACATAAAAAAAAAATAAACAAAAGTCATGATTTGAATGTTTTCTAGCTGGAGCTTCACTGAGATGTTAGACTGGAACATCTGCCTTTAAACCAGTTTGAATCACGTCAGCTCAGCTTGAACTTGCTTCACTGTGCATCTATTATGTCTGAAGTGAATTTGAAGTTTGAAAACTGAAAATGAAAGTACACTGTATTAGCTTAAGTCTCTATTTTTAACCTCAGTAACTGTATTAGAACATCTGCATTAGAACCCGACCATCTGGATTTGTATTTTTCAACCTGAAAAAGATTTGAATCGCATCATTTGAAACTGAATTTGATCCTCGCTGTAAATTCAACTCAGATTCTTTCTGCGCTGTTCGAGCTCAGTGTTCCAATCTGAGCCATTTAAATTCATGTTTGTTCGGTTTGTAGCACCGCATGCTTCTGCCCGTCCAGATGAGTTGAATTTAAACCACAAGAAAAGAAGTGTGAGAACGTAACGGACGAACAGAGAGCTGAGGATCAAATCAAACACGTTCACTTTCCAAATGCCGATCACGTCTAAACACAAACGACTTCAGTTCAGTTTCCAGCGGCACTCGTTCCCGCCCGCACGCTTCCTCCAGACGGTCCGCCGGCGTCCATATTTGTAGTTTCAGCCGAGCTGCCGGATCGACGGTTCGGGTTGAAGGAAGAGTCCCGTCACGCCGGCTCACTTCCACTCGGAGCAGAGACCCGACGGCGGTTCAGGTTCGACAGTTCAGTACCTGGGTTCTGCACAGACTGGGGTCGGAATCACACGGAACACCTCAGCCCAGTCCTCAGATCAAGTCCAAATACTTAATTATCAATCTATAACGGAATAATTTATGCTGTTTAGTGACAGAAACATGATCTGGGCGTCTGGAGGTGTGACGTTCTCCACCTCTTCATGCCAACATCGCGTCTCTTTGTGTCTAAACATGTGACGTGGAACGCCAGAAGAAGGACTTTCAAGTGCAAGAGGTGAGTTTTGTGACTTTAAAATGAATCCGACTGGACGCGGCGCCCCGAGTCTCATCATTTTCATCCATATACTGACAAACAGCGAACAAGTTCCCATGTGGCGCCGACCCGAGTGTGAAAACCTCGTCTCTGATCTTCAGTCCGACGACACTTTTGGCTGTAAAGTCTGCTTGTTTGTCCTCGCCGTCCTCAGCGGGACTTAAAGCTCCACTTTCACAGTTAAATATTCCATGTCTCAGCCCTGAAGCTCCGTCCGGACGTCGACTGCTCCAGAGTTCAACCGACTGCAGCTGCGACGTCTTGACTTTGGGAAACGTGGCGGGGGTCGGGCGGCGGGAGGCGGCGGGGGTCGGGCGGGCGGACGGTCCGGACCCACGGGGCGGGTCACCGTCTCTGCTGGCTGTAGACGGGGAAGGCCAGCTTGACGTTGAGCGAGTCGTTGTGCTGCACCAGCGAGGTGTGCTGGTAGTGCAGCACCAGCTCCTTCAGCGAGCCGTACAGGTTGTAGGGCTCAGCGAAGCCGTAGCCGGTGCTGGTCTTGTTGATGACGCAGTGCTTCACCTCGCCGTCCACCCTGAGGACACACACACACACACACACACACAGCGGGTCACACACTGGAGCCAAAGTTGACTTAAAACACGTTTCTTTAAACACAATTATTCAGGATCAATTCAAATTCTAATAAAAAACTAATTTATAATTAATGTGTCAGTGGTCGT